GTCATGAAGCTTGTATTTTGAATGCCTTTCTTTTGAATGTCCCCAGCAAAAATAAAACTGAAAGCAAAAGTGCCTGGCCTCTTAAGGAGCCAGGTCGTTGGGTTGAAATTGGGAGCAGGGAATCTCCATATTCTCCAGCATGGGACTACTCTACATTCTCCTGCAGAGTTATATATCTATGTGCCGCTCAAACTCTCTTCTGAGACCATTTCGAGTTACGACCATCTTCTGGAACGGATTAAGTTTGTAAGTTGAGGCACCACTGTATTTTGAATACCTTTCTTTTGGCTGTCTCCAGCAAAAATAAAATTGAAAGCAAAAGTGCCCGGCCTCTTAAGGAGCCAGGTTATTAGTTTGAAATTGGGACCAAGGAATCTCCATATTTTCCAGCGTGGGATTATTCTATACTCTCCTGCAGAGCTATATATCTATGTGCCGCTAGAACTCTCTTCTCACGAGAAGAGGGCTGTTTTTCCTTTTGCGATGAGAGGGAAGAGGGGAGGACTGCAGGATCAAAGAGAGAGAGAGGGAGAGATGGACTGAGGGTAAGGTGGGAGGGAGGGAGCTGTGGCTTGTCAAGCAGCATTTTTTCACTCGTCACAGATGAGTGGATGAGTGGATTTTTCAAGCCCTGCTCATTCATTAATTCATTCAAAGCATTTTTATCTTCATTCTTAGCTGAAAGGCTCCTGGAACAACTTTCATTAATAAAATATACAGTGCTTTGCTGCAATACAGGAATGCAATTATGTTTTTACAATAAATATATAAATAAGTAAAATAGTGCATCTAAAACCTTGGACACATGCATCAGAATCCTTACTTTTGCCCCTTTAAACTACAGACCTTTGTGCTATATCAAATATATTCAAATGTTTTTGAGTGCCACTTCAGCTTAAAATGTCATTTACTCATGCATGAAGTATAGTGGGCTACTGTTTGAAACATACACACCCAAAGCTTTTAAAAATATGCATAATTTGTCATGTGATCGTTTTTTCTTTCTTGTCCTAAAATATACAAATAAAATATATGTGCGTCAGACCCATATTTAGATGTATGCAGGTCAACTGGTCAGAGTGGATTTTCCCTCATACCTACCTACAGCAACCTGTACAGCCCTCTAAAGGTGCTATAGGTAGGAGGTATACAGTGGTATGTATACATCATCTATGAGTGGAACCAACATTACCACTAATTTTCAGCCCTGCCGCTCTGCCCCTCACATGCACAACTTTGCTTGTGCGCAAAAGTGGTCACAATGACCAGATAGGTGGGGTATTAAATAAATAAATAAATAAATAAATAAATAAATTCCCCCTTGTGGAGTTTTGTTGCAACCAGAACCAAAGGGACTGAAAACAATTGTGTTTGTGCAGAGTAGGAAAAAAGTTGTATGGAGGGAGATAGAGTTGCACAAAGGCACACATCTTAGAGGGAAACTTGGGTGGAACCCTTTTGCCCATAGAAAGCAGGTCATGAATGTTGTGTGGGTCTGCGGTTGATTGTATACATATATATGTGCAGTTAATATGTATGAACATAACCTTAGTAGAGGGGTGGATAAAATACAGTTTTCCAAATAATTCTTTTGGTCTGCAGTTCTCCAGATTCCTCCTGATTCAATGTGATGCCGTAGTCTGGTGGAACTTTCAGTCCAACAGCCTCTGAAGAGACACCCTTTGCTCATCTATGCTGTGTGCCTTATGTTTATAATAAATACAGTGGTGCCTCACTAGACGATGATAGTCGGTTCCATTGAAATCGCTGGTTAGCGAAATCATTGTCTAGCGAACAGCATTTCCCTATTGGAATGCATTGAAACCTGTTTAATGTGTTCCAATGGGGAAGAATCGTTGTTGTCTAGCGAAGATCGGCCATAGGAAAGCCGCTTTGCGAACCGCCGATCAGCTGTTTAAATTGCTGTCTTATGAAGCTTAGGTCCCGAAAACATCTGTTTTGCGAGCGCGGCGGAAGCTGTCAAAATCGTCGTCTAGCGAAAATCGGTTTGCGAACCAGGGACCAAACATTGTCCAGCGAAAATCCCCCATAGGAATCACTGTTTTGCGAATCCTATAGCTATCGCAAAAAGTCAATGTCTAGCGAAAAAACTATCTTGCGGGGTAACTGTCTAGCGAGGCACCACTGTAATATCAAGTGTAGAATTAATTTTGTTCGGGGCTTTTTCCTTCTGAATTTTTTTTTCTGTACTTGTGGTTTTTATTTTATTTTGTATTATGTTTGAACACCACCTGGTATCTTGATGAAAGGTGGCATTCAATCTGTAATAAATAACTTTGCTATTTGTCAGAACCGAAATAAACATATTATGTAGAAAGACTAGGAGTCTGACCAATTTGTGGAATTGGCCAGTTATGACATGGCAGAAAATCATATTGCAAACAATTTTGATTATTATGAAAATATATTTGCAAGAAGTCTGTATTTATTTTTTGACCTGAGATTTCTTGAGTTACCATTTCATATATAATCAGTTTTCTTTCAGGCACTGAAGAGCAATTTGTATTCTTTAATGAGTTTTGAATCTTCAGATGGCTTGGAAAGGGTTCAGTCTGTTTCATGCGCTGCCCAGTGTAGAATAAGAATTACATCTTGTTATGTGATCTTGTTATGTATCCATTCATTTATATCTTTACTTCATTTCCAATACATTTTGAAAGCAGACTTTTGGATGAACATTATAGAATTTTTGTTTGTTTTATTGTTAGCTGTAGCACCTGTTGTGCCTGATTTAAGTAGTGATATTGACACCAGCAACTTTGATGATTTGGAAGAAGATAAAGGAGAAGAAGAAACATTTCCTATACCAAAAGCATTTGTTGGCAACCAGCTACCTTTTGTGGGATTTACTTATTACAGTAATCATCAGTAAGCACTATATATTTGTTACCATCTTGTCAAGAAGAATAGCATGATTTTAATTTAATAGGATTAAAAAGGAATGTAAAAATTTGCTTAATTCTGATTTAGTGTGAGGAATATTTCAAGAACTGCTTTGCAATGTGATCCTGAAATTGAACCACGATTATGGTTCATATTCTAGCAGTGCTCAATTTAAAGGATGTATGGCTATTTTGTACACCTTTCTATGAGTTTTACAAGTCTAATAAGCTGTGTGCCTTCCCTCGTACTCTTTCTGTCCTCACTGTAAGACACAGAATCAGTGAGTAACCACAGCTTCTCCTATACCTTTTGGAGGGGAGTCCAGACTTTGAGTTAGCCTAACTCTTCACGGAAGGGAAGGGCTACTTTGTCTTTCCCAAACTGACACAAGTTTAGGAGAGCTCTTACTGATGCATGCAGCCTAAGCAGTTAGTGCTGTTATCAGATCTTTTTATTTTCTTTTATTTTGAGATCATTCTGTTTGTTCATGATTTTGATAAACAGTAATATATCAGGGAAAATAATGTGTTAATATCCATTCTTACAGTTACATACTGCAAGTCTTGGAGCCTTTACGTGGCATTGCATCTAATATGGATATTCAGATTTTATGTGTATCAGATAAAGAAATGTGCTATGAAAATCATTAGAAGGTTGATGAGGAAAATCTAGAATGTGTGCTTTTTGAAATGGAGAGCCTTTAATAGTAAAAAAAAAATCACCACCAGATTGCTGCTGCCATGAATCTGGCATCAATTTTTTACTGTTTTATATCTCTTCCTCTTCCTCCATCTTGAGGCTTCCTTAAGGAGCTGCAAAGCTTAAAAGGAGAGGGATAGGAAGTTCTTAATTACTTTAAATTGAATGTTTCTGGTGACTGATCCTGAAAAAGTTGTGCCAATAGGATTTACTACAGAGTGTCATTTTTTGTGATGATACCTGCTAGACATACAATATATAATTTTTTTCTTTTTTCGTATACTGTATAACTTTTTCCTATGTATTTTGTTATGTAGTACCACGTTTTCTGTATGTTGCACAGAATAAAATATACCTTATATTCCTTTTTTCTTTGACAAGAAAGGGACAGTAATGATTTTTAATGGAATGTATTTCTACTCCTTTACCTCTTTAAAAAGGCATTGCAATTCTCTTTGCAGGTATTTGTCTAGCTGCACTGCAAATTCTAATGACAACAGACAAAGTACCAATGTGGATAAAAGTTTGGTATGTCTTTTTTTGTTACTTCTCTTTGCAGTTCTTTTAATCCAAACATAATGCTTTAAGTGGTATTCTTAGATCACTTTTGTTACTTTGCCACTTAGTTGCTGCATAAATTTAAAATACTTTCAAATCACTAAAGCATGCTTATAGGTATATTTTTGAGACATTGGAGGAAGTGTAGATGAAAGGTTATAAAACTGTTGCTGACTGCAAAAAGGGATTTGTAAAGGATTGGAAGACCATTCAGAATAATTGTACCTTGTTTCCCAGAAAATAAGACCTAACCTGAAAATAAGCCCTAATATAATTTTTCAGGATGCTCGTGACATAAGCCCTACCCCCAAAATAAGACCCAGTTAAGCGAAAAACCTGCCTTCCACCATTGTGAAGCAACTAGAAGAAGATGACATGACTATATTTGAACAAATGTAGATTGTTGTATATTTTTTAAAAATAAAACATCCCCTGAAAATAAGCCGTAATGCATTTTTGGAGCAAAAATTAATATAAGACCCTGTCTTATTTTCGGGGAAGCATGATATATTAAAGAATAGACCTATAATAGAGACCTCATTTGATCAGTTCTTCTGAAGCATGACCTTGCTATTCATTCTTTCTTTATATTTAAAGCTGGAATCTTTGCAAAAAACTATATATCAGCTTGAAGAACAGCTACATAATGAAATGCAGCTGAAAGATGAAATGGAACAAAAATTCAGGTGACTCATTTATTGTACTTAACGCTACAGAAGAATCAGTTGTATAAATTTTATTCTTGGGAATGGTGATGGTGTCAGCACTTTGTTTACACCAAAGACCTCAAATGTAAATACGATAAAAAAAATAAAAGTGGTCTCAGGGAATTTTTCATACTAGATAAGGGCAGTGAACCAGTTCAGACTTCAAAATAATCCAGGCTTCTTTGGGCATCAGAGCTTATTGATGACAAGCACCATGTTAGTCTGCTTGCTCTTGGTTGATCAGGCTGTTCTGGACTGACTAATTTGTTCAGCGTGATGTCTGAACCTGGCAGGAGCTGGTACTTGGCAGTTCCCTGTCAAATCACAGAAACAGCCCTTGTTTTAGAATTGTTTCATTGGCTTAATAGGAACAGTATCTGACACAATGTACCTGTTACCAAACTGTACTTTCTTAGTACTGAAAATAGGTGTAGGAACCTATGATCGAATACGCCTGCTTATAAAAAAAAATATATCCTGGTTTACAAAAAAATCTGATATGTAACGAACCTAGGCCAAACCCTTCTTCCTGACTCGCTAGTTTTGTACGCACAGGAGGTTATGGAGGAACATCAAATATTTGACTTAACTATTTTAACTCAGATTTACAGTTTGATACAACTCACACTAAAGCTCACAACTACAGTGCTGCTATATTGTATGTAGTTTTACACTGGTCAATGACCATTTTATATATACACTGTATATATATAGTCTTTATTATGGTCATTGACCAGTGTAAAACTACAGTGGTGCCTCGCATAGCGACGTTAATCCGTGCAGCAAAAATCGCTAAGTGATTTCGTCGCTATGCGATTAAAAAAAGCCCATAGAAACGCATTGAAACCTGTTTAATGCGCTCCTATGGGCAAAAAACTGACCCTAAAGCGAAGATCCTCCATACGGCGGCCATTTTCGCTGCCTCTTAAGCGAGGAATCCGCCCCTAAACACAGCGGGTGGCCATTTTTTTTACCTGGCAGCCATTTTGGAACAGCCGATCAGCTGTTTAAAAATCATCGCTTTGCGATGATCAGTAAGCGAAACAGGGCCCCGATCATCGCAAAGCGAAAAAAACCCATTTAAAACATCGCAATGCGATTGCTTTTGCAATCGCAAAATCTTCGTTGCTATGCGGTTTCGTCGCTAAACGGAGCGCCCCGTAAGCGAGGCACCACTGTACATACAATACAGCTGCACTGTAGTCTTATATATAGGAGTCCAACACAACATTATAAAACGTTAGGAATGGAGAAGGTTACTGTCAGCATAAATTAGACCTGATTCTGGGAGAAAAATCAGTGTTCCCATTATATATTATATCTTGGCCATGTCTAATACAAATAAAACAAAAATAAATGAATGATTGTGGCATCACAAATATTACAAGCTATCCTTGTAATTTACTTAGCCTTAAAGTGTTGTGGTACTTTACATACGTAATAGGAGATTTATTTTATTATGAGTTTTTATGGAGAATAATCTGCTTCCTCAGACACATAGAATATAATAGTTGCAGGTTTATGTAGATAAAATACATAGTAGTGGGGTTAGGGACCATATAAGAAAAAGAGGGGTGACAGTTATGAATTTTCAAAATGATCATGGCACTAGCACCACCAGTGAATAAATTACTGATTTTATATGCATCCTGTTAATGGGTGAAGATAACAACCTGTCTTTCAGTTCATACCAATACTGTTTTGGAAGGGGTTAGAGCTATGTCAAAGGAAAGAATTTTTTATCTGTAGTGATAACAAGGCTGTAGATAAAACCTCTCTGTGTGTGTATGCGCACGTGTGCATGTATGTATGTATGTAGTTGGTTAGTTGGTTTTCATTCTACATGCTGAAGTGGATTAATGTGGCTGTCTCTTTGAAAAGTACTGTTGAAAAAAACCTCAACATGGACTGTGCCTGAAAACTGGAAAAAAGCATTAGATTTATATATTTTATGTGCCTCTAGCTACAGATCTAACTGCTGAAATACTCAAAAGAACAATAAAGCTTAATGTGCTTAGCTAGTGAGGGACACAGCTGACTTCCTGAGGAAACACATTTCATTCACAACTTCCTAGATTATGTCATTCTAGCACTGTGGATACATTGCTGCTTTATACAAATATCCCCCACAAGGATGAGCTACAAGCCATTAAGAATGCCATTCTGAGTGAAATAGTAATGCACCCAGCCACTAATTCCTGTGTGTTTGTACTCACACACGACTTCATTTTTGGTAATAACATATCCCCAGATCAACAGGTCGGCTATGGGCTCATGTATGGTGCCACAGTTTGCACTCATATTCACATATTCAGTTCCTGTCCCTTGGAGTTTCTCCTCTGAGATTGCTGACCTCTTTAACATTTCAATTCCCAGAACTGTAATAATTTTCATTCTACTATTAACCTGAGGCTGTGCCAGTCTATGTAAGTCATTGTAAGTCCGGGCTGGTTCGGCCGAGGGCGGTTCCGTGGAAGTTGCGGGAAAGAGGACAGAAGGCGGTTCTTTAGATTTTACAGAATCCATTTTATTCAAATACAAACTCAACAGGCTCGAAAGGGTCCATCAAACTCAATTCGGGTAACAGCTTAAAACTTCTAACTACTTCAGCTTTCTCCATTTCTTTGGCTGGCCCAAAGCGTTCTCGGTTGGTCATAGGCCGTATCAGAGTAGTTCTGACCGCGCAAACGGTCCCGCAACATGGGTATCTCACCCAGTCCCCCTCCCGTTGGTTCTGAAGCAAAGAGGGACTGAAACGGATCACCCTCCTCCCCCCACGTTGATTGCGTGGATAAACCACCACAGTCCATTCTAGTGGATCCATCTCTTGCCCGTGTGTTAGGAAATCTGGTGGTTCTGGGAGTAAGCCGCCACTTACTTGCAGATTAGGGAATTCCTTTAACAACTTTGGGAAACCCCCCTGGCCCATGCTTCATTCTGTTTGCACTGATCTGTCTTTCTTATCCACCGGTTCGCTCTTCCCCACCCTGAAACTTCCCGCCTTTTCGCCCTCCTTTATGTCCTCCCACACAATCAGATCAAGCTCCTCCCCCTTCTCATCAGCCAGACACACTTCTTTATATTCCTGTACTTCTCGGTCGTCACGCTCCACCTCTACCAGTATCCCTTCTATACATTCTCCTCCTCCTTCTGCTCCTTTAGCCGCGGAGGACGGCTTACTCCCTTTCTCTCCTTCACAGTCATACATTTCTCAGACACCATTGTGCATCTGTGCAGTAGCTGTCTAATCACCATGTTATATATAGTGGTGCCTCGCTAGACAGTTACCCCGCATGACAATTTTTTCGCTAGACATTTACTTTTTGCGATCGCTATAGCGATTCACAAAACTATGACTCCTATGGGGGAATTTCACTGGACAATGTTTGGTCCTTGCTTCGCAAACTGATTTTCGCTAGATGACGATTTGCTTTTCGCTAGACAATGATTTCGCTAGACAGCGATTTCAGTGGAACGAATTATCGTCTAGCGAGGTACCACTGTATATAAAAAAACTGCTGATCATTATTTAGATTAACATACTGTACCTCCAGATTTCATATTGAACAACATCTATTGTCTGCAGCCAGGCCTAGTGATATTATCCACTTGTAAAGATCTTCATTGGGCCCATTCTGGACAATAATACTTCCCCCTCCAAGGCTCTGGCTGGCCGGCCTGTACTAGGTTAGAGACTACAATCTCCATCTTAAAACAACTTGACACACGGTAGGTTATACAGTATGAAACACATAACAGAGATAGAAACAAGACTCTGCTATGAACCGAGATACCACCTGTGTCCATACACCTATGCTGTCAGTAACATAACAGACCATAGTAATATGACCCACAACATCAGCAGCTAATTTACATGTTCTGCTAACGTTATTTGTGCCACCCTTTGGCGGCACTGCCCCTCTATGTTCTACATAGGGCAAATGGCATATTCTTCACAAAAGGTGGCCACGAATCTGACATAAGAAATGACAATACACAAAAGCCAGTTTCAGATAACTTCAGCTTCTTTGGGTGCTCTGTTGCAGATAAGTAACTGTTGTGGAGGAAAGGAATTGCAAAGGAAGATCTGAGAGAGCAAGGAAGAGCATTGAATTGAGCTGTATTCATAGATTTCAGTGTCCATCTAAAAAAAGACCAGTATTACTTAGAATATACAGTGGTGCCTCGCTAGACAGTTACCCCGCATGACAGTTTTTTCGCTAGACATTGACTTCTTGCGATCGCTATAGTGATTCCTATGGGTGAATTTCACTGGACAGTGTTTGGTTCCTGCTTCGCAAACCAATTTTCGCTAAACGATTTTGACAGCTCCCTCTGTGCTTGCAAAATGGGTGTTTTTGGGACCTAAGCTTTGCAAGACAGCTATTTAAACAGCTGATTGGCGGTTCGCAAAGCGGCTTTCCTATGGCTGATCTTCGCTAGACAACAACGATTCTTTCCCATTGGAACGCATTAAACAGGTTTCAGTGCATTTCAATAGGGAAATGCTTTTCGCTAGACAATGATTTCGCTAAACAGTGATTTCAGTGAAACGGATTATCATCGTCTAGCGAGGCACCACTGTATTAATACACGGGTTTTATTTAGTCTTGTGTATAACTATAGCCTAAGAGTTCTGACTTCAGCACAACTCCATCTACACTTTAGAAATAGCAACCATTGCTATCAGCTGACAAACAAGCCTATTCCTTCACCTGTTAACAGGATGTCTATGTAATCAGTACCTTGAAAATTCATAACCACCATTAACAATGCCTTTATTGTTTGAACGTATATTAACAATATATTTGTCACACTCTTTCCCATCTCACATGGTCACCACCCCACTACTTTAAACTGTGCATATAATTCTGTTGGCTATTATACTTCATGTGCCTGAGGAGGTGAATTATCCATGATAGCTCACACTGATATCAATCTGTTAGCCTTAAGGAGCCACAATAGTTTTGTTTTTATTTTTGTTCTCTTTTTTGTTATCTATCTTGAAACAGACTAACATAACTGCCTTTTTGAAAACTAGTATTCTGGCCATGTACCACAGACCAGGGCTGTATTGTTTATATATACATGAAAACATTGACCCCAAACCAAAATGAGATCTTTAACAATGTGTTTCTCTTTATTTTTTAGAACATCGAACATTAAATTAGACAAGATAATGAAGGAATTAGATGAGGAAGTAAGTGTTTTTGTTGTTATTAGATTTTATTTATATTATTTATTTATTTTTCAGGAGAAAAACTCTTGCTGTGATCCATGAGTGGGCAGTTGTGCCTGGAAAGCCAGGGAGTGGGCGAGCATGTGGAGGAGGCGGGAGAGGGGAGTGGGCAGCACCTGCATAACACCTGTGTGGGTGCAGTGCAGAATTTGGCCAAACCACCGAACTGGGGTTCGTGCCCATCTCTATTTGTTGTTAATATAGGTATAATTATAATATTCAAATTCCACTAGCTCTTTTACATAGCAAAATATTATTATTAGTGGATAAATTAGAAAAACATAACCTGCCATATTTTTTATTTCTTCTTCGTGGCCTCTGTGAATGCACACAAGTGGGTTCATACAGTTCCTGTGCTGGTCTTCTCGGAATATTCTAGCACTTTTATAGATATGTAACAAATTGAGAGTTGCCATAATAGCCCATGCTCTGCCTGCCTCTGCCCTCAGTTCCATTTTACCACCTTAATGCTTGGAACTTCTCACTGTTAGAGCTTTTTCGCTTTTTGGACTGATAACCTGGGTTTTTGACACGGACTGCTTTGGATCTCGCTGTCTCTCTGTTGCCCTTCGACGCAGAACATTTAAACAGTTTTTGCTTCGTTATTTCCGGCACCTACTTACTCAGACCATTTTTCACTTCCCGTGCTTACCTCGTTCACTGCGTTTGGCTTTATACTGTTAAACACTTGTTTGGATTTTCTTTTGAATGTACCCTTTGCTAGTCAGAGGACTTTATTACAGTGGTACCTTGACTTATGAACTTAATCCATTTTGGAATGACGTTTGTATGTCAAAAATTCGCAAGTCGAAGTACCATTTCCCATTGAAATGCATAGGAATGGAATAAATCCGTTCCAACATTTCAAAAGGCAAAATGTCAGGGGTAAAGGTCGGTAAATTAGAATTTCCCACCCTTTCTCCCTGCCTTTTTGGCTTCGGAGCTCTCAAAGGGCTTCCTCCAATGTCGGGGGGAAAGCCCTTTGAGAGCTCTGAAGGTGCCGATTGCGGCGGTGGGGACCATCAGTGAGGTCTCCCATGGGAGACTTCCCTGGGGGTCCCTGCCACCACGATCGTTGCCTTAGTAGCTCTCAAAGGGCTTCCTCCGATGGCATTGACTTGTGAACAGAGCCTTAGTCTTGTTCATAGGTTGAGCTCCGTTCGCAAGTCGATGCCAATTTTTGCCATTGGAGCCGTACGTAAATCAAAAAGTTTGTATCTAGGGACGTTCGTAAGTCGAGAGTTGACTGCATTCTGGACTGACTACCTTCTCAATCATGAGTTCATCTCTTCTATATTTCCCTTCTGCTTTATGTCCCCTTCAGGATCTTTCAGTAGGTGCGTGTCGTGTTCCCGTAAGTTACCATTCTCTGATGGTCACGACTGCTGCCTTTTCGTCTAGTGGACACCCACCAGCCTGAGTCTTGTTGGCACTGTAAAAAGTTTACCAAAGCCTCTCTGAAGGCTCGAGAACAACATTTAAAACTTTTTCTTTGGGATAAGACCTTTTCAGAGTCGAAACCCTCTGAAATGGAGACGGCATCGACCCCTTCAGCTATCCCTCACCTAGACTTATCGGCTTCTCCATCCTTGTTGACTTTGAGACCTCTTGATAAGTCTTGGAAAAAATAATCGATGTCGACGAGTAAAAAGACACTTACCTCAGCGTCGAAGATCTCTTCAGGCACGTAGTCGAAAGAATCCTTAAAACAGAAAAAGTTAACATAGAAAGATAAGGATAAACCCAAGGAACACCGTAAGAATATCCCTCCTGTCTCGGCATCGTTACCATCACTGATTCTTGAGTATTCTTCTCGGGACTGAGAATGTCTCTGAAGCAGCTGCCTCCACGCCAGCTAGAGGCTTCTCCTACCGGGCTCAGTCGTTCACCGAGCCCTGGCCGGAGAGAAGATGCTATTCTTTCTAGCCTGGTTTCTGTCCATCATAGCCCTGTTTCCACCAGGCAGGCGTCACCACCACGTCTCTCACCGTCGACTTCCTTGAGGCCAACTCTCCACCTTGGAAAAGGACAGTGAAGAGAAAGCACATCTCCCCAGATCGGCATCGATCTTCTCGACGAGAGGTAGTCCTACCTCGGTCTTCTCGACATCGTAAAAAATATAATGATCCCATTGGTCCCATATTCCAAAGGATACTTGGGTTCTAAGTATCATCCGATTCGGCTACCAGCTAGAATTTATAGAATTTCCTTCTCTAGGACAAATCAAGCTTATATCTTTCGACTCTGTTCTAGAAGAAGAGATTCTTGCTCTGCTTCAAAAGCAAGCTATTCAACGAGTACCACATCGAGACATATCCAATGGATTTTACTCCTGTTACTTCACCATCCTAAAAAAGGACGGCAGTATCTGGCCCATTCTGGACTATGTTGAGGTTGACTGCAAGCCGTCAACATCGACATGACAACACTGATGCCGACTCGTTGTCGACGTTGGAGGATTACCATAGACATAAGAAAATTTGCTATGTCTACACTTTGACATCCTCTTCCCCATCTCCGCATTGATTAGCTCTCGACGTCAAAACTCGACATATTCCAAAAAGACAAGAAGTACCTAAAGATGCTCCTAAACAGACCAGACCTTCGAAGTCGGGATCGAAGACTACCCAGGCTAAGGACCATCCCTTACATTCTCAATGAACATCTGAACATGAAGTCATTAAACAAAAGTCAAAGAAATTGGCACGCTTACCATCACCTTCTGACCAGGAAGAAATATTCCCTTCTGCGTCTTCAGGTCAAGAGGACGAAGTTTTTTCTGCTGCCTCAGGTGAAACCCCTGTTGAAGGAGGATCTTTTGAGTCAGATGCAGGTGACCCGCACCCATCCTTACCTTTGGAAAATTTTTCTTCCTACGTCCAGATGATCTCTAGGATGTCAAAGACTCTTAAGCTCCAAACAGAACAGCCTCCACCCCCTAAGGAAGACTTGGTGTTTGGCCATATCAACCAAGAGAGGTCCCCACCATTAAGCCTAGCCTTTATTCAGACCCTCATGGAGCTAATTATGGAATCGTGGAACCAACCTTCAACATCCCAACTGCTTGCTTGCAGGACTGACAGTTTGTACCGTACTCACGGTAATGAGACCAATTTTCTGGCTAAACACCCAGTCCCTAATTCTATAATCGTACAATCAAACTCATCTAAATATTCTGGGAGAGCCCATGTCACTCCTACGAATAGAGAAGGACGTAAGCTTGATGTCCTGGGCAGGAAAATATATTGTTTCACCTTTTCTTACTGAGAGTGGCGAATTACCAAGTGGCCATGGGGGCGTACCAAAGACAACTTTGGTTGTGAGTTCTTCCAGCCCTTGAAGCAGCCCCGGATGAAACACGACAGGGCTTCCTTAAAACCTATGCAGAAGCCCTAACTATGGTGAAACACCAACGACTGGCCTCCTGCCATTCAGCAGACGTCGCTTCTAAAACATTAACATCTGCCATCACTTTAAGATGTCACGCATGGCTCAGGTCCTCAGGCATTATAGAAGACGTCAAAACACTCATTGAAGACCTACTTTTTGATGCCAAGGGGCTATTCAGCAAAAAGACCGATGACTCATTGGAAAACTTGCACAAAATCAAGAGAACTGCCAAATCCTACACTATTCACCAAAAACCTAAATACCAAAGATATCAGTGGCGCAAACAATACCCTCAGCAGCAATATTAACAACCATCTTCCCAATCTTCCTGTGCTTTCAAGAATCACAGCCAAAGTAGATTTTCCCAGGCTTCATCTTCTGCTCCGACTTTCAGACCTCAAGCATCTTCACAAAGATGTCAGTCTTAACGCCTTCCTGCCAAGAAAACAAAGCAGTACCTTTGACTTAGACGCACAATTTTTCATATTTTTTCCCAAGATACTCAATTAGCTCTGTTTTTTTTTTCAAAATTGGTCCCATATTCCAAAGGATACTTGGGTTCTAAGTATCATCCGATTCGGCTACCAGCTAGAATTTATAGAATTTCCTTCTCTAGGACAAATCAAGCTTATATCTTTCGACTCTGTTCTAGAAGAAGAGATTCTTGCTCTGCTTCAAAAGCAAGCTATTCAACGAGTACCACATCGAGACATATCCAATGGATTTTACTCCTGTTACTTCACCATCCTAAAAAAGGACGGCAGTATCTGGCCCATTCTGGACTTAAGAGACCTAAACACTTACCTGCATCCACGACACTTCCGGATGGTCACATTGGAATCCATTGTTCATCTTCTTAAACAAAACAATTGGTTTGTAGTCATAGATCTAAAGGAAGCATATTTTCACATTTCAGTTCATCAGCATCACAGAAAATACCTCCACTTCATCTTTCGAAACACTGTTTACTAATTTTGTGCCCTTCCCTTTGGACTGTCCACAGCTCCCCACACTTTCAAAAAGTGCATGGCTCCGATAGCAGGCTTTCTCTGTCTTCACGGCATACAAGTGTTTCCTTATACAGTGGGGTCTTGACTTGAGAACGTAATCCGTATTGGAAGGCGGTTCTCAAGTCAAAAAGTCTGTAGGTCAAGTCTCCAGTGCATTGAAAACCGATTAATCCCGTAACAGGCCCTTTTTGTTCCATTTTGGTTTTTTTCTGGTCTGTAAGTCAATTCTCAGGCTGCAAGTCAAACCTAAATTTTGCGTCCAGAGAAGTCTGTAACTCAAAAAGTCTGTAAGTCAAGCCGTCTGTAAGTCAAGGGTCCACTGTATAGACAACTGGCTGGTGGTGTCCCCATCCAGACAAAAGGCCTTGCAGGACACCAGATTTGTCCTGTACACCTTGAGGAACCTCGGCCTTACAGTGAACATAAAGAAATTGCACCTAATTCCATCCCAAATGGTTGATTATATAGGAGCAAGACTGGACTCTCTCAAAGCTCGGATATTCTTTCCACCAAGCCGTATACTGAAGCTGCACAAAGCTGTTCACAAATTTCGCCCACACTCAACCATCTCCGCTCATCATGCTCAGCATCTGCTTGGCCTCATGGCCTCCACAACAGCTGCACTAACACATGCACATCTGAAGATGCGCTCCTTCCAGGCGTGGTTCCTGGCGCTCTTCAATCCTCTTCAAGACGATCCATGAAAGCATCTACTTGTCACCCCAGAACTAGCAAAACAACTACAATGGTGGACCTTTCTACCACATATTCTAGTCGGCCGTCCCTTTCAACTGTTACAGCTTTCTGCCCAAGTGACAACAGATGCCAGTCCCACAGGGTGGGGAGCACACTGCGGACCCCACAAGATACATGCTCTCTGGTCTCATCGTGACAGACGTCTCCACATCAGTCATCTAGAGATGCTGGTGGTCATAAAAGCTTTCTGCGCATTCCTTCCTCTGATACAAGTACTCACCGACAACACCACGACCATGTTTTACATCAACAAACAGGGAGGGACACAATCCATGTCTCTCCTGTATCTGTCAATACACATGTGGGAGTGGTGCTACCATCATCATGTCTTTCTGGTGGATCTTCATATTTCAATGAGTGACAACGAGCTAGCAGACAAACTGAGTCAGCTAACAGGACAGTCTCACGAATGGGAACTAGACAACAACACCTTCCAACTACTCTGCAACCGGTGGGGTTATCCCACGGTGGACTTGTTTGCAACACAGAACAAGAAGTGCAGGACGTATGCCTCTTGTGCGGGCAGAGGCGAGGATTCACTTGGAAATGCCTTCGTGATTCCATGGCAATCGGGCCTTCTCTACCTCTTCCCTCCAATTCCACTCATACAGAAGACTTTCGTCAGGGTTCGGCAGCTGAGGACAGATGCCATCTTCATTGCACCATAGTGGCCTTGTCAGCCCTGGTTTTCCACTCTCAAGGAGATGGCTGTGGATGTCTTCAGACTATCACTGATTCCACACCTTCTCACCCAAGGCTCAGGCAAGATCCTCCATCCAGATCTGCAGTCACTGCACTTGACGGCTTGGAGGCTCATCTATCAATCCAAGAGGTCCTAGACAAGGCTAGAAAGCCATATACTAACCTCCTTTATAAATATAAATGGAATAATTTTCTAAGGCTTGCTCAATCAAGACAGTTACAAACTTCTCCTGTTTCCCTCCAAACCATACATACTTAACTTACTTGTTTGATGCAGGTTTGGCTTTATCCACCCTTAAAGCTTACGTCTCAGCAATTGTTTCTTTCCAACCTCGCAACTCTGATTCGGCTCTTCTTTTTTCTCACTCGACTCTCAAATCCTTTTTGAAGGGCTTGTCAAATATCCGACCACCTGTCAAACCCCCTGTACCTCAATGGTAACTTCAACTTGTGTTATGCGCGCTTCTGAGCCAACCCTTTGAAACTGTGGCCTCTTGTGACATTTGCCTATTGTCATTTAAGTCTTTATTCCTTGTGGCTATTACATCTGCAAGAAGGGCAACTGAGCTGGCAGCTCTCTGATCCAACACTCCTTATCTTCAGTTCTTTAAAGACAAGGTTATCTTATATCCTGATGTTTCTTTTTTACCCAAGGTTGTCTCGGATTTTCACCTCAATCAACCCCTAACATTACCAACTTAATTTCTTCAACCCTCATCGAACATTGAGCGCATGCTCCATTCCTTAGACGTTCGAAGAACCTTGGCATATTACATCTCACGAACTAAAGAAATTCATTGTGCTCCAAGACTTTTCCTATGCTTCCAGGGATCACACTAGGGTTCCCCTGCTTCATCCTCAACTATATCTAGATGGCTTGTTTCCACTATTTATCTAGCTTACGAACTGCGGGGCAAACTTCCTCCCAAAGGCCTGAAAGCACATTTCACCAGGGCTGTTGCAACATCTACAGCGTTGCTGCATGGTGCGGATGTTCCAGATATCTGCAGAGCAGCCACATGGTCTAATGCGTCCACCTTTGTGACGCACTACAGACTGGACCTTCGGGCCAAGAAAGAGACAAATTTTGGAAGAAAAGTCTTGACTTCTGCTCTAGGGAGATGGCCCTCCTTCCAGTAAGTGAGCTTGCTAGTCACCCACTTGTGTGCATTCACAGAGGCCATGAAGAAGAAAGACAGATTATTTACCTGTAACCATGGTTCTTCAAGTGGACCTCTGTGAATTCACACATCCCGCCCAGCCTCCCCTGTATCCATCACTCGTTTTTAACTTTCTTAAGCACTTCATTTATTGGCGGATAACTGGAACTGAGGGCTGAAGCAGGCGGAGCATGTGCTATTACGGCAACTCTCAACTTTGTTACTTTTCTATAAAAGCTCTAGAATATTCCGAGAAGACCAGCGCAGGCACTGTCTGAACGCACTTGTGTGAATTCACAGAGGTCCACTTGAAGAACCATGGATACAGGTACGTAACCTGTCTTTCAAAATAGAAATGGAAAAAAAAATCACATTAATAGACAGAACCAGAATATATGGCAAATGTCTGTGCCTAGTCACCCAATATCTCCAGCAATTATCAATAATTCTTGCCTAAATTTTATTCAACCTCTGTGGAGTCCAATGCTGGAATTTATAAGAACTCTGTCTTGAGTTAGAGTAGTTTATTGGATGAAGCACTGACTTCTCTGGCGGTTGCCCACTCTGAGGCAGTGCCTGGAGGAGGCAGGGCAGGGAAGCCTGGCCACTGCCTCCAAGTGGTGTCTGCCAGAGAAGGCAGGGCTTTGAAGTGCTGAACATCTCTACTAGAGTGAGGCCCAGACAGGCAGGCAGCTTAGGAAGCACAAGACAGGGGTTGTTAGGAGCTTGCATATAGCACAAAGAATATGTGAAACAAACAAACAAAAAGAACATTCTCACTGGGTTCCAACCAGTCTAGTGCCTTTCACAGCTTCAAAATTCCGGCTCATTCAAGATGTTTTGATTGGCTGCTCATGATACTACTGAATAAAATATTTCACAGGCAATTTAGCAGACAAAGAGTGAAAGAAAGGTTAAAAGAGAATGTGCCTCCCAATACAGTGGTGCCTCGCATAGTGACGATAATCTGTTCAGCAAAAATCGCTGCAAAGCGATTTCGTCACTATGCGATATTAAAAAGCCCATAGGAATGCATTGAAACCCCTTCAATGTGTTCCTGTGGGCTTCAGACTCACCTTTAAGCGAAAATCCTCCATACGGCGGCCATTTTCACTGCCTGGTAAGCCAGGGATCCGTCCCAGAAAATAGCGGGCGGCCATTTTTTTTACCCGGTAGCCATTTTGGAACCGCCAATCAGCTGTTAAAAAAATCATCGCTTTGCAATGATCGGTAAGTGAAACATCCATAGGGAACATCGCAAAGTGATCATAAAAAGTTAATCGCTATGCGATTTCATCGTTAAATGGGGCGCCCGTTAAACAAGGCACCACTGTATTCACATCACACTCTTTCATTAATGCAAAGCATTTCTGATAAATAGACTCTCTTTTGGGAGTCAACAGAAGTGCAGACAAATGAAAAAATGAACCTCCTTTGTGTTTTTTCCTTTTTTTAAAAAACACGAAAAAAAACCCATACCTAGTCAATATTTTATCACTAAATCAATTTCGTCCCTTTTGCCATTTCAAAATTAATTCTTTTAAAAAAACCTAATAGTAGGGTACTGGATAACAAAAATACATGGTGTAACATGTTCATTTTAATGACTGATCCAAGAAATTTTTAATGATGCCTACTTTCTTAATTGTCTTCTAATTTCATATTATGGTTGATTACGCATTTAAGCCTCATAATGTGATTTTTGAGGATATTTGTCTATTTTACTCTTCATTGTGAGAATCTTCCAGTTGACAGAGGGATTATCAATTTTTTAAATAAAATAATTTTGACCAAATTATAGGTGTCGGTAGTAGCAAGTTTCGTATGTGTAGAGTTTTCTTTTTTACTGAAATGTCTTGACTTGTTAAACATTAAATGTGTGCAACTTACAGGGTAATCAGAGAAAAAATTTGGAATCAACAGTTGCTCAGGTTGAGAAGGAAAATATGCTTCTTCAGCACAGAATAAGTGAACATCAAAGAAAATTTGAACAGGAGAATGAGAAACGCAGAAATGTAGAAAATGAAGGTAAGCTGTATTTCCCTTAGCAGTATTGTATGTATATCTGTATTTTATTTTATCGTGATACAGTTGTTTCCTTTTTTTTTCTAGTTGTGTAAGAGTATTAAATTTAAATTCTACATGTTTTCATGTTTCATCCTTTCCTTCTAGTGTCAACATTAAAAGATCAGTTGGAAGACTTGAAAAAAGTCAGTCAGCAATCACATATAACTAATGACAAAATACTGCAGTTACAAAAACAAGTAAGTGGTTTGCTTTACTTACATTCTTTTTCTTCCCCAAATGTTTCTAGAAAAAGAAAGCTCAGTATGTTTATTGTATGGTCTTCTGTGTTTTTTTTCTTTTTTCTTTTTCATTCTTCCCTCATTTCCCTGTCTTAGCTTGAAGAAGCCAATGATTTACTACGGACAGAATCAGATACAGCAGCAAGGCTGAGAAAAAGTCACACAGAAATGAGCAAGTCAGTAAGCCAATTTGAATCCCTAAATAGGGAGATGCAAGAGAGATGTAGAATGCTAGAGAGCACCAAATTACAAGTGGAAAAGGATTATTACCAATTGCAAGCAGCCCTGGAAGTAGAACGAAGGGATAGGAGTCATGGATCAGAAATCATTGGAGAGCTACAAGGTAATCACTCCATGCTACTCTAACATCTAAAAAATTATGTAAAGGTTTGTTACAGTATAAATGTAAAATATTATTCTAGAACCATTCAAAATGCTTAACTTACTGATAATTTGGGCTTTATTTTAACATGGGTGGACAAGATCTCTCATATTGAATACTGTAATGCTTCCCAACCTTGGGTAGCCTAGCTGTTTTGGGACTGCAGTTCCCAGAAACCCCAACCAGCGCAGCTAGTTGTAAAAGATTCTGGTAATTGCAGTCCAAAAACACCCAGGTTGCTCAAGGTTGGGAAACACTGATATAGAATAATATTTTTACTTGACACCTATCCCCCCTTATTGATGAGAGAAAAGGCCTTTTATCTATTCAATAGGAAGTTAAGAAGCTGGTGGGATCAAATATGCCCCCTCAATGCCATTTCTGAGCAATGAATAGCTTCATTTACCAGTTTTGAGGAGGGTTTGCATGCAGAATCTTATATCTTTGCAGAGATAAAATTGCCAGAATCCTCTTGGTGTTCGTGTAAGATTAGATTAATATACCACAGCTAATTAACAAGATGTTGGGTGCTTCTTGTTCTCATGTGTGGTCATACATCTGATGGTACAACCAAAATGTTCGCTATCACTTTGCCAGTTAGCTTTAGCAAACCATATGCAGGCACCAGTAAGATTCTGGGCAATGCATACAAACATGTTATTTATTTATTTATATTTATTTAAAATATTTTACCCTATCTTTCCCCTTTAAAAATACACAAGGTGGCTTGCGTCATTAAAAACAACATGTAAAGCTTAAAACAGGAAGTATACAAATACCACTGTGAGAAATGGTAAACACAACAATACTAAAAACACATTCAAAGCACTAAGGCATAACAGCCCACTAAAAATGACACCCAGGGAGCCAGTCAGTGAGGGAAACCTTACCTGAAGAGAAAGGTCTTTGCTTCCAAAATGACTGCAAAGATGGGGCAAGCCTGGCCTCTTGTGAGAGGGAGTTCCACTTGTAGTTCTTCATACATCTAGGAATATACATATTCTTCCATATGTCTGTATGGGTTTTAGAATTAGCTCACAGTATTGGGCTGCTTAAATATATGTTAGGACACCTTTTAAGGATCATAAGATAGGAACATAATGCTTTGTTTTTTTTTTCAGGGATGCTTTATAAAGCATTAATTTTATTATAATGGCCTGTATCCTCTTATGTAGCTCTGCCTGTGCAGTGGTACTGATGTCATTGTCAGTAGCAGATTGTCACTAATTAAATAATGTTGCTGTTGTTGCTGTTTAGTCATTAAGTCGTGTCCACCTCTTCGTGACCCCATGGACCAGAGCATGCCAGGCCCTCCTCCTGTCTTCCGTTGCCTCCCGGAGTTGGGACAAATTCGTGTTGGTAGCTTCAATGACACTGTCCAACCATCTCATCCTCTGTCGTCCCCTTCTCCTCTTGCCTTCATACTTTCCCAACATCAGGGTCTTTTCTAGGAAATCTTCTCTTCTCATGAGATGGCCAAAGTATTGGAGCCTCAGCTTCAGGATCTGTCCTTCCAGTGAGCCTTCAGGGTTGATTTCCTGCAGAATGGATAGGTTTGATCTCCTTGAAATCCAGGAGACTCTCAAGAGTTTCCTCCAGCACCACAATTCAAAAGCATCAATTCTTCAGTGGTCAGTATTTTTTATGCTCCAGCTATCACTTCCATACATCGCTACTGGAAAAACTATAGCTTTGACTATGCTGACCTTTGTCGACAAGGTGATGTCTCTGCTTTTTAAGATGCTATCTAGGTTTGTCATTGCTTTCCTCCCAAGAAGCAGGTGTCTTAATTTTGTGGCTGCTGTCACCATCTGGTGTGATCATGGAGCCCAAGAAGTAAAACCTGTCACTGCCTCCATATCCTCCCCTTCTGTTTGCCAGGAGGTGATGGGACCAGTGGCCATTATCTTAGTTTTTTTGATGTTGAGCTTCAGATCATTTTTGCGCTCTCCTCTTTCAGACTCATTAATAGGTTCTTAAATTCCTCCTCACTTTCTGCCATCAGAGTAGTATTATCTGAATATCTGAGGTTGTTGATATTTCTTCCTGCACTCTTAATTCCGGCTTGGGATTCCTCCAGTCCTGCCTTTCGCATGATGTATTCTGCATATAATTAAGCTGGGGGACAATATACAGCCTTGTCGTACTCCTTTCCCAATTTTGAATCAATCTGTTGTTCCATATCCAGTTCTAACTGTTGCTTCCTGTCCCACATATAGATTTCTCAGCAGATAGATAAGGTGGTCAGGCACCCCCATTTCTTTAAGAATTTGCCATAGTTTGGTGTGGGTCCACACAGTTTTTGGATAGTAAATGGAGCAGACATAGATGTTTTTCTAGAACTCTCTGGCTTTCTCTATGATCCAGCGCATGTTAGCAATTTGGTCTCTAGTTCCTCTGACCCTTCAAAACCCAGCTTGTACTTCTGGGAGTTCTCAGTCCACATACTGCTGAAGCCTACCTTGTTGGATTTTGAGCATAACCTTACTAGCATGTGAAATCAAATTAAAAAATACATTATTTTACTTGGGGATGTGAGTAACCTGGTCTTAAAATATGCGAGTTATATGAATCGTGAAATCAAAAAGGGAATTCTTCAATTAGTGGCAATCTGTTTCCGACAGTGATTTCACTCCCATTGTGGAGACAGAGTTGCACAATGTGATGCTTGCCGTAAAGTTGTACTGCATCGGTTTGATGACATTTACAATTGTGTCTGTATTTTGGGCATAAAAAGTCTCCTCCTCCAGTTCCTAGGCTCCCTTGGGATCTCTTTGGTCCTAGGGAAGCCTTTGTGCGAAAGGAAGGGAGTCTTAAATGTCCAAAAATCTTTGCCACCACCATTGGGATCAGTGGTGGCATTTTTCAGATGTCTTAATCCCCATCCCTCTGTCCCTACAGGCTTTCCTAGTACCAAAAGGATTTAAGAGAGTCCAGGAACCTGTGCACTATTGGACTTCCTGTTACCAAAATATAGCCATGGCTGATGATGTCATCAGACTTGCATGGCATAACTTTTTGATAATGGCTTTCAGCCACCAGCAACTGGGTTGTATATAATCTTCATGTGTGACCTTAATTGCCAGATCATTCGAACTTTCTTGCATAAAAATAGATATCATATAATAGCTTCATTTTTTATTTAATTTCAGTATACATATGTCAATTTAGTCTTCTTCATATACCAAACAATAGTGGACAGCACTAATATTTTAAATAATGCTTCTTTCTAAAATTAATGAATGATTTCTGATGCATAGTGGGATTTATGTGTAGGTAAGTCATACTTGTGACTTTGTGTACAAGTACTGTAGCAAATAACAAGTACTTGGTTTTGAACATAGCTCGGATAACATCTCTACAAGAAGAAATTAAAGGTATTAAAAACAATCTTGAAAGAGCAGAAGAGGAAAGAAAACAGGCCCAGGACATGCTTAATCGATCTGAAAAGGTAAGGTAGCTAAAGTAATGAGGTGTAAATAATTATGTATGTTGTGTCTAAATCTCTGCATCTTAGAATATGATGGGTGTATTTTGAGTAGAAGGGTATTTGCATAATGCACACAGGAGAGTCTTGGAGTAATAGGAGAATTTTATAAAATTTGCACTTATGAATCTGATAAAAGTAAACTTTAGTCCTCCCCCCATGGGAGACTAGGTGATACTAGAAAACTGGTGCAGAGAAAATTGAAGTTCTGTTTATATGTAGTTTAAAGAATCTTTCATCATAAATATTTGTAGATTATATGTACTAGATGGAAGTGTGTGTATTTAACTCAGAGCTAGGAAATGACTCCTTTTGTAAGTTGCTTTGGGAGTGAGTAATAACCTGCAGTAAAGTTACTTTTCTGCTTGTAATGACATTGGTTATAATTTACTACTTTTTCAATGGAACTTGTTATTGATGGTGGGGAAGAGACCACTGCAATGAAAGAGGAGGAAAGTTCATAGGAGTTCATTTTGCATTGCTGTGTCCCGCTGTCTTTGTGGAGGAAGCATTTAAAGAGATGGGAACTAATGAGGGAGAAGAGCAAGGACAGCAAGAGGAGTGCAAGCAAACACATAGGAGAGATTGGGATTGGGCATGTGAGAGAAAAGGGTTGGGTGGGCACACATGCACTGGAGAATAAAAAAATGTAGGCAGGTGCATCCGATAGAGTTGGTATGTGCACTAAAGAGACCTTTGGAGTTTGCATGTGCAAAATAAAGAGAGTGCATGAGTGTACATCAGAAAAGCTCAACAGCAACAGCAACCACAGCAGCAACAACAAAAATGTCAATTCTGACTTATAGCAGCCTTTTTTCAGGTTTTTCCAGATGGAGAATACATAGAACTGAGTTACTGGTGATTTATGAGGTACTGAGTTGGCTGGGCTGCTATTACATGTGCGGACAAAGTGACCTAGTTTTAATTAGTTTTCAGAGGACCCGTGCCATGTTTCATATCCAACTCTGGTTTGTCTACAGAAGGCTGAGATGAAGGTGGTTGCTATGGTGGAATTTTAGAGGTCATTGTTAGGACTATGTGAAATCCTATAAAAACTGTATGCCTGGCAGTCAGTGGATTACAAGTATATTTGGAGGATTCATTTGTTCTTAGTATCTGGTATACAGAGATGTACTGCTTATGAAAATGGTGTTACATTTAGGAAAATCTTCTGATAGTCCCTGAAGCTTGTCCTGTTGGATATAGAAAGGAAAATGCCTGGAGGTGGAGTTCTATGGAAAAGCATTTTGTTACGATAGTTCAATGTGTTCATTAAATTAATACAGATAAGAAATATCTGTCTATGGAATTCTGCCAAACCTGATTGAATAAAATTCCCATCTTCCTACCAGCAGTATTTTCTCCAACTAAAGATGTCCTCTTACCATCCCATGGGTCCTAAGCAATGTACTGTACCCTCTAATTTTCAGCCCTGCTGGGCAGGACACTGCCTCTCTCTGTTGTAGCTTCCCCCCTGCGTGCCCATGCGATTCCACACACACGCACACCCCGCGTGCAGGGTTCCATCATTACCGGAACCAAAGGAGTTAAATACAATCGCTGTGCAGAGGAGGAAGAGAGCTGCATGGAGGGAGGTGGAATCGCACATGTCCAGCTTAGAGGGAACCTTGGTCCCAAGGTTCTCAGTGATGAAAGTGATTACATGGGAGTTGTGGGTGCCTCATGGCACAAGTAGGAAATGCTTAATTTCTGGAAAACTATTCCGGCTGATGATGTCATAAGCATTACAAGTTGTAGCTTACTTGAACAGGATTTCAGCTAATGTAATAGTGCATTATAGTGGTGAACTTTATATTGAGCCAGTGGATACACACTAAATAAAGAATAACGAGAAAACCAAAAAGCCATTGGAGAATATAATGAAATGTGAATATTTATCAGATTTAGTATGATATGGTGTTCTTAATGTAACTTCAGTTTGTAAAAATACTTTGCAGGAGAAGAATAATTTGGAAATAGATCTAAACCACAAGCTTAAAATGTTGCAACAGCGTTTAGAGCAAGAAGTAAATGAACATAACATAAATAAAGCCCGGTTAACTGACAAGCATCAATCAATAGAAGAGGCCAAATCAGTTGCTATGTGTGGTAAGTTTTAAAGCTAGTTATGTTCAAGGCTAAAATACTAGTTTGGTATGTATGTTTTCCTTAGGACAGAAATAAGTTAAGTATGAATCTCAAATACTGTTTAAAGTCACTAGGGCACAGGCACATCTTAAGGCTGTGTGTCTTAACTCTTCACATAAATATGCTGTCCAGTTTGTGTCATAAAACAAGTCTACTTATGATGGGAGCAGCCATAGTGTAATGTTCATTATTTAAATGGACAAATGTTTATCCATCACTGTTGTGATACAATCTTTTTGCCTTGCATGACTCTTTGAGTACAAAAGTCTTTGAGTAGAAAAGATGGAAAATGACAATCCTGAAACTCTCCAAATGAATTAATTGCTGTGAGAAGTGGTGACAGCCACCAAGTTAAAGGTTCTAAAAGGGGTTTAGCATTTATTTCTGCATTATCTTCATTTGCATCATGTTTTCACATAGGAACCTCTGAGTATTTTTAAGAAACATATACTTGTGAAATATAGGCAGTTTTAAGAGCCTACTATTGCTGCTGATACCACCTAATTTTTCCTCATTGGGTTATTCTAGTTACTTAGACAAAGTCTGTAGAGTAGGTTATTTGTTTAAGTACTACTGAAAACATGGAGCTTCTGACAAATAAATATACAGTATATGTTTGTATACATTAAAATTCTTTATTTGGATGTTTCCTAAGATGTGTTTTGTTTCCTTAGAAATTGAAAAAAAGGTGAAGGATGAACGAGCAGCAAGAGAGAAAGCAGAGAATCGAATAGTCCAGATTGAAAAACAATGTTCCATGTTAGACTTCGACTTGAAACAGTCCCAGCAGAAGGTAGAACACCTTAGTGAGCAGAAAGAGAGACTAGAAGATGAGGTAAATAAGTACATTGTCAATTACCTCTTCTGCCAAAGTGAATATACTTGTAAGACACATAAAAAATGACCTCCTTTTGTGTTACTTGAAAGTAAAAATTTGTGAATGTTCTGCAAATGCAAATTATACTGTTCAGAACTTTTTTTGTGAAAGAGAGAAGTGGTAATTTAACACATTTTCCTGATCCGTGCAACTTGAATTTTAATAGTACATATACAGCAGTGGGAAGCTTTGTTGCATACAGTGTTTTCAGAATTCAGTAGCCATAGACAAATGTGTAAGGGCTGTTACCAAATGTCTTGGATCTTTCTACTGCTTTTGAGTGAAAGGGAATATAAGAAATTAGAGCTTCAGATCAGAAAAATTATATTCTGGGAGGTTTACAGACAGTTAAACTACACAGAACTAAATACAGCATAAATAGCAAAAAAATAGTCTAAAAACCTAAACAATGGCACACCCAATTTTTGGACTGAGGCAAGACCAGAGGCGAGGCATTCAATGGGTTAATGTGAAAGATCTCCCTGAATAGCAGTGTTTTTAACTGCCTCCTAAATGAGTACAGGGAGGGGACCAGGCATAGCTATGGGAGTTGATTCTATAACATAAGTACCACGTTGAGAAGGCCCTACCTCTAATAGATTACTTTTGGGCCTCTCTCGGGTTACAGGGAGAAGCCTGGTCTAATAAAATCTGATGGGTCAGTCAGATGACATTGGGAAAGGATGTTCCAACAAGTAATGTGGTCCCAAACTGTGAAGGGCTTTATACATAAGTGTATATTATGCAGGCTTAATGTAATTTTTAGATGGAGAATTCAACTAGGAATCCCTGATATCTCATAATAAATTGTGAACAGAGTTTTGCGTTATAACGAAGAAAATGTCAAAAATCTCTTGTGACATAAGTAGGCCGTTGAACCTTAGGTATTATTTTTTCCTGATTATTTATTATATTTTAATGTGCAAATGGTGGTATTTATCTTATATAAAAATATTACTACATATCTGGGATATCTGAGAAGTGTTTTCTTTATAAAAATGTTTGTGCTAGGTTAAGAATTTAACGCTTCAGCTGGAACATGAAATAAATAAGAGAACAATGGCACAAAATGAACTGAAGGTGCATGCAATAGAAGTGGATAGCTTAAAGGGTTCCGAGAAGCAGCTAAAACAGGAGATCAACACATTATTGGAAGCAAAGAGATTAGCAGAATTTGAGTTGGCTCAACTCGCCAAGTAAGTAAACAGAATTTAAAATCAAGAGAATTATATGCAATTGACTTAGGGATGTTCTTCTTTGTGCCAGCAGACATATATTTTATTCTGGATGATTATGTTAGCAATAAGAATTGTTAATAATTTAATTGTACCATTAGTCTTTATTATAGAATTTTAGAGCTGTATTCCAAGGATCATCAAGACCAGCTCCTACCAAACTAGGAAATGCACACTTTAAAGTTTCCCTCATAAGAGGTGATCCAGCCCCTTTACCTTCTGAGGCTGTCTCCTTCATTGTAATTTGAATCCATTATTTTTTTCCTGTCTTCTTGAGTTGTTAAAAAAAAGTCCTCTCCATCTTCTATAAGATAGTCCTTCATATGTTTGAAAATAACTATTGCTTCTCAGCCTTCTCTTCTCTGGGCTAAATATGCCAAATTCCCTCAATTTTTACTCAAATGACTTAATTTCCGTACCTCTTACAATATTGGTCATCCTCCTATGGACATGTTCTGGCTTCTTGATATTTCTTTTAAACTGTGTTGCCCAGAAATGGACACAGTGCGCTAGGTGAAATCTGGCCAAAGCAGAATAGAGTGATACTATTAATTCTTCATCATGGTCTCTGTAAATCACACAATTGGGTTTTGCACCTGTGTACTATGCTCCACAGAAAGTTCCAGAGCGAATGTGGGAGAATGCCCCTTCCCAAAGTTGCTAAGCTGTTGGCTGATTCTACAGCAGTAGAGAACATGCTCCTGGTGTTCACACCTGTGTCACACATGCTTCTGAGAGGAGGCGTGGCTACCCATTCTTCTTCTTTCTCATAGTGATAAGGGAGCTAACTTTAAAAGCCTTTCCTTGGGCCAATCATAATGGCATTATGTAACCATTGTACTGTCAACTATCTGTGAGCTTGTAAGGTTAATAAAACACTGTCCTCCTGGGGGCAGGCCAGTCTTACTGGAAATCCTCTTCTACTAGTCACCCATAGGAGCAGTGCTGGCAGACATCCTTCTCTCTGTGTGTGGCTGACTTCTTTAACTTCTCTAAGACTATTTGCTATCCTAATTATCTGGTGATCACCTAGCCGAGGGGTCTCAAACATGCAGCCTGGGGGCCATTTGTGGCCCATCGGACAATACTTTGTGGCCCCCGACTTGCCTGCCCCCCGAAGCACCCATGCGTCCTCTGCTGTCAAGAGTCAAAAAAAGCCTTGCCTCACTCGCTGGCTCTCTCCCAAGACAGCGCCTCTTGCGTCCTCCTTCCAGGACTGCACCCTGCCAGCCCTCCCGCCTGTCTGCCAGCTGGCAGGCTGCAGTTCCGGATGGAGAGTGCAAGAGGCGCTGTCTTGGCGGAGAGCTGGCGAGTGAGGTGCGCTGCCAGCCCTTTTCCCCAAGTGCCCGAGCCACCGCTGAGCAATGCCTGAGAGCAGAGCTCGCTCCCGGCCCGTCCTCGAAGAGCGCCTCCAAGCCACCAGCAGCAGCTGCTGCCACCTCTTCCAGGGAAGTGGCTTCCTTTCTCTCTCGGCACCCCCAGCACCAGCCCGGCCAATGGCCGCCTCAGCGCCCAGTGGTGCTTCCTCCTCCTCCTCCTCTTCGTCCTGCTTCAGCCACTTTGGCTCGGGAGGCTGCCTGGGCTCACCTTGCAAAGCTTGCTCCTCTATCATGGTTGGGGTAGCTTCTGCTGCTGAGTGCGCCTTTTTTTGAGGGGGGGGGCTCAGAGAAAGGTTGCTGGACATCCGTGTGTTTGTGTGCATACATGTGCCTGCACATCTGTGAGGGCCCCGCCTCGTTCTGTTTAATTTCACAGGTACTGGTGGGGGCTTTTCTCCTTCAGCAAGGAGAATTCTGTGAGGGTTTTAAAATTTAATTTTATGTCATGCCCTCCTCCCCGCGGCTAGGGGGTCACTGGTGCTCCCTCCCTTCTCCGCTTCTTCATCCTGCTGCTGCTGGTGGTGGTAGTGAAGAAGGAAATGGAGGGGGTTGTGGCCTGCGACGAGGGCTCACGCGCCCCTCCTCCTCCTCGGAGGCCCAGCTGGGCTAAGGAAACTCTTGGGTGGCTTCCTCAGGCTCTTGCTCCGCTTGGCGGAAAATATCATGCGACCCAGCCTCACCCAGATTCTGCCTCCAGCGGCCCCCAGGTAAATTGAGTTTGAGACCCCTGACCTAGCCCATCAGCCTTCTCATTTTGTGACCCTACAAGCGAATAGTTTCAGTTCTTCTCCCTGTGTTAATCATCCATACTCTGCTCTTCTCTCAGTCCATTTATGTCTGCACGACAACAACACTGGGTAAGGCTTTAAGGAATAATTTGTAAAGAAACAATGTCTTCTAGTTCAGGGGTGTCCCACCTTTCACCTTCCCTGGGCCACATTAGCAGATGAAAATTTGGTTTGGGCCACACATACATTTGGTTTGGGCCGCATGGGGGGGCAGCCCTAGCCGTCCTCCGCAGCCCCGCTTCAAGTGCACTTACCGACAGCTGCGATCTCAAGACAGCAGAGGCTGCCAGCTTCAACTCCGGCGGCTTTATGGGGCCAGGAGGGGGTCCACTTATTGACGGGGACGGCACAATGCAGTCACACAGCCCCCCTGTCCCCTCCCCTCCCCCTCCTTCCTTCCTTCCCTCTCTCCCCCTCTACTTTTGTGACATGGCTCGGCCACATTCCGGCCACAAGCACCGGCAGTGTAACTTGAAACTTTGGAATTTCTTTAAAAATAAAAAATTGCACTGGGCAGCATTATGAGCTGACCTGGGCCGCATGCGGCCCTTGGGCCGCGGGTTGGACAAGCCTGTTCTAGTTCATTGTTAAAGTAATTTGCTTGTTCTAAAATGTTCCTGGTCACAAGCTCCCAGGGAATCAGAATGAAGCTATAGATCTGGTTCTACAAGAATGTTTTTTAAAAAATTTAAGTTGTTTAAGGGCGAGATGGGGGTTATATAGGTTGAAATTGACTAACCAATATCCTGACAAGATTTTTCTAGTAAAATATGGAATGCATTTACACATTATCATCTTTCAAAGGCAATATAGAGGAAATGAAGGCCAGATGCGTGAACTACAAGATCAACTAGAAGCTGAGCAGTATTTTTCTGTAAGTTTCCTTTTCTATATTATACAAAGAGATTTTTAAAATTGTGATGTTACGATGCAAGCCTGTATAAACCTAATAATAGTAGTTTTCTATTTTTGTTTCTTGTACTGTTTGCATTTTATGTTGATGTAAAATATGAACTGAGGATGGGGAGTACAGGACCAACACATAGTTGGGGGAGAAAGCTCCAGCAATAATCTGGTTCTAGAATCCTTATAGTTTGGTGACCATGTGCATTGCCTGAAAAAAAAACTGAAGTCCTAAGCAGCCCAAGTCATCTGATTCCACTAGTAAAGTTGGCTTTCACCCTGCAGTTGCCTAGACGTATGTTTACCCTGTTAAACTAGACAAAAAAGCATCAAGTCCATTTCCATGTCTCTTTAAATTTTAAGATAGTGCTGCAGCTGTGGAAGCACTGTGGCAGACCTAGCCAACTGTTCACAAAATGCCCTTCTCAGGATAGTTACCTTGTTAGGTTTAGCTCAGGTGTTGCATTTTTAACTGTATTTCCCGCAGTGTGTATTTGTTGTATGCAGAACCAGGTCTTGAGAAGCCTTCAGAACACTAGGCTTTTCCCTGAGGCCAGGAGGTACCTCAGCAAATCTGTCTTGATTTTTCTAGGAGGATACGTTAGGAGCACCTTACCAGCTAAGGCATGAAAAGCTCCCTGTATTCCACTGTTTATTGAGCAAATTTGGATATCTTGTATTGTTCACTGAGAATCCTATATCATTAGGTTCATTTGGCTGCTGAGATTGATGACTGGCCAGTCTTCTCTTCATTGATAGTGTACTCCTTGTGGACTGGACTATTGTGCTTACGGGTGTGCTGGTCCCAATTGCATTACAAAATATTGCCTTAGTTACTTTTTCTTATATACATCTATGACTAACTTAACTTCCAAACTATTTAGACATCCTCTCTAACAGATAACTAACAGTCTACAACCGTCACTCGCTTTATTTATCTGTCTGACAGTTAACTTTTCCAGTTTCTATTGGTTAACACTAGACAGATTCTTCGTTTTTGTGTGCGTGTGTGTGTGTGTGCGCGCGTGCTGTGTGGTATTGTATAATTAGATTTTCCAAGATAAAAGAGGTACAATTGAGTCCAAGTCCCCAGCTGTAGTTAAGTTCACTGGTTCATGAGGAGAGTCCTCAGTCACCCATTCCCAGGTTCCTTTCACTGGGAAAGATTGATTCTGTCCCGTTCCCATCACTCAGCTCTTGGATGATACAGTTTTAGAGGCCCCTGACTCAGGATCTCCTTGCTGCTTGGCCACATCTAGCAGTGAGGTTCAGTATGCTTGCCATGCAGGCAAGTATGGATAGATCATCCTTTTAGGGGCCCTCACCTCTTCTGGTTCCTTTGACTTTCTCTACCAAGCTTCTCTAGGCATTGGCACTCACTTTGTCTCTTTCGGTCTCAGCATTGGCTTTGTGTCAAGGTAGTCTCTCCTGCCTTCCCCACAATCTTCCTATCACTTTCTCCCAGTAAAATGGATAGTAGGGGAGCTTGGGGTGTTCAGGCATCTCTCCCTCTCCTTCAGATACTCTTAGCTGAAACAAAAATCCCCTCCCCAGGGGTCTTCCTTGTAGATGTAGTAGCACACATATTATGTACAATTAAGGGTTTGATGCTTCCAAACCATTAAAACAAGTTGCTAGCACTTCTCCAGATATGCAGGTTATGGATCCCAGTCCTCTATTATGCAGTGAGGATATGCAATTCTTCACAGATCAGCTTATTTGATTTTTTCCTGTGACAAGCTCATTAGGGTTCCATTTTAGGAGAATGCATTGCTCACACTGGCTTTTTCCTTTGATAAGGCTCTTTTATGTCCATCAAGTATAGACCCACAATAGCACAGTGTTTACTCTGATAGTTTCTACTGGTACCCGTAAGTGGCCATGGCCCTTCTGACCCCTCTCCACCCCACTCCCCTTTGTTTCTGCTGTGGGCAGACCAGTTACCTGCATGAATATATGCATGGCTGGTAAAAAATTGGCATTTACTTAAGATACAGTGCTCATGAGGGTTGCAGTTCAGGAAACTTTTACTGCTTTTTTAGTTCTTAATTTGTTTCTATATGATGGTTTAATATTTTTAGATGCTTTTTGTTTTAATTCTTGTGTCTCTTAATAATCTGTAAGCTGCCTTGAATCTCATTGCCAGGAGAGAGGCAGCATAGAAGTGCAGTAAATAAATACATACATAAAATAATGCTCACACTGACACTTTCACCAATTGTTATATAAACATTTTAAATAAATAAGTAAATATAGAATGTACCATGTGTAGAAGATACCATGTTAGTATTTTCATTATGTATCCATACATATATGCTATAAAAAGAATGTGTAAAATATCTGTGTGTTTTTAACTTGCAGACATTGTACAAAACTCAGGTTAAAGAACTTAAAGAAGAACTTGAGGAGAAGAATAAAGAAACTCAGAAAAAAATACAGGAATTACAAAATGAAAAGTAAGTCAGTTTTATAGCTATAATAAATAACTCTGTTAAGCCGTTCTAAGCCCTATTGATTTCACTGAGAAGGGTTTCAAAACAACCTAATGTTGGCTTTGTGCCAGATATGGGAAAGTTATTTGAAAATGGTTAGCAGTTTAATCAACTGTTAATAAGCTGAAAAATCTAATTCAGTTAAGTTGAAGGAGGTAGATGTTTATTGGTTAAATTTATATTAAACTCTAGTTTAAGCTTAAATTAGATGGCTTATGTTTAATGAGAAGAAAGAAAAATCCCATCCATGGTATTAATTGTCTCTACTACCACCACAAGCCTTCTCCTTATTTTCAATCTGAAAGGGAAGAACCACATGAATTTTTGTAGCTGCTTACAGAACAATTTTTATATAATTGGTGCATTAACAGTCTAGCTAATTTAATACAGTAGGGCCCCCGTATCTGCTGGGGATTGATTCCGAGCCACTCCCCCATGGGGTAGAAATCGAATAATAAATAAATAAATATTGAAAACCTCTCTTTGTGTGTGTGTGTGTGTGTGTGTGTGTGTGTGTGTGTGTGTGTGTGTGTGTGTGTGTGTGTGTGTGTGTGTGTGTGTGTGTGTGTGTGTGGAATAGCGTTCGTACGTCGAAAAGTTCATAAGTCAAAGTACCATTTTCCATTGAAATGCATGGGAACGGAATTAATCCGTTCCAGCATTTCAAAAAATTACCTTTGGAGGTCTCAAAGGGCTTTCCCCCCGACATCAGAGGAAGCCCTTTGAGAGCTCCAAAGGCAAAAAGCCAGGGAGAAAGGACGGGAAATTTGAATTTCCAGCCCTTTCTCCCTGCCTTTTTGCAGGGAGCCATTTACAAACGGCTCTGTTGGCAAAAAATGGCATTGACTTGCGAACAGAGCCTCGACCAATGAATTCTGACTTTGTGATCAAGTGTGCTAGTGCATACTGCCCAGTTACTCCCCTTGGCTCCACCTACCAAAAGTTGTGGCTTCATTAACCAGGAACTAACCAAGAAAAGAAAGCTTAATGTTAAATCCAAATAGGAATGCCTCGTTTATCACTCCTCAGAGAAACCAATGTGTGAAGCTAGACATTGAGGTTGGAATACAACTTCTGGCTTGTTTGTGAGTGACAGTCTAGGTGATAGATTTAGATGTAATGATGTGTCTTTTCTTCCTGGTGGATTTTTGATTACTGAAGTCATTCCTTTTGGAAGCAGAAGCCAAGCAGGAACAGTCGAGCAATATGCAGTTGCAATCTTGCTTTAAAACTATAAGCCAAGATTCTCTGGTGTTTTGGCTCATTATTTCATGGAAATATTATCAGTCATACAGTGAGCTTCAAAGGTGAGTGAGAGATTGAACTCAGGCCTACCCTGTCCTATTCTAGCACTCTGAACGCTGTACATACAGGACCAGAAAATATATTTTGTATTGCAGAGAAACTCTTGCTGCACAATTAGACCTGGCTGAAACAAAAGCAGAATCTGAGCAGCTGGCCAGAGCTCTTCTTGAGGAGCAATATTTCGAACTAACTCAAGAGAGCAAAAAAGCAGCATCACGAAATAGACAAGAAATCACTGATAAGGACAGTATTTTAAGTCGGGTAAGTTATTTTGTAATGAACAAATTAAAATAATTTTATTTTGTAAAGAGCAATATCTACTAGTCTTACATGTTCAAAATTCCTTATTCATGAGACTGATTTAACACTTTTTTTAAATTTAGCTTGAAGAAACAAATAATACATTAACCAAAAATGTGGCATTTCTTACAAAAGAAAATTCGGAGCTAAATGAAAAGATTAAGAAACTTGAAGAAGGTATGCTTTATTTTGAACATTAATGGTTTTATGAAAGATTATCAATGTATTTAAAATCTTTTCTATATTAAGAACCATAATTTGTTAGTGTGCTTGGATATTGGCTGCACTAATGTGTTGTTCAGTATATTTGAGATTTAAGGAGCTGCTTTGTTAAATCTTACATTAATGAAAAAATATATTGAGCACAGAGGGTTATTTTAGATGCATTTCGTGTTTACAGTTTTGAGTTATGGAGAAATTGCTCATTTCTTGTTAACCAGAAACATTGAGCAAGAAACTACATTGGTATTTGTTAATTTTCAGTCAAATAGTGAGATTAATGAGTTTGCTTTTTCTTCTTCAAGGTCTCTCTGAGTCACACACATTTGGGTTTTCCTCTGTGCTGGTGCAGAGAATATTCTAGAGTCTTAAAAAAGTTCATTAGTCCACACTCTTCCCATTGCCCATGCTTCCTACCCAATAGTAATCCTCAATTCTCTGGTTTGATAGTTACAACATCATGCCCAATCATAGTTCTTTAAAACATAATTTTATATGTACCTCAGAGCCGTATGAATTGAAGTTGTTGTTTGGAAAGAACTAAGAATTTTACACTTGAATTAATCTGTATTAAACATGTACAGTGGTGCCTCGCAAGACGATGTTAATTCGTTCCATGAAAAACGCTGTCTTGTGAAAACATCTTGCGAAACACGTTTCCCCATAGGAATGCATTGAAATCTATTTAATGCATTCCAATGGGGGAAAGATCGTTGTCTTGCGAAAATCGCCCATAGGAAAACCGTTTTGCGAAGCACAGAAACAGCTCTCAAAATTGATGTCTTGCGAAAAACCGTCCCTTAGAAACTGTTTTATGAAGGGCGGACCCAGCTGTCAAAATCGTTAACAGCTCTCAAAATTGATGTCTTGCAAAACACCGTCCTGAAAGAAAAAAAAGAAAGAAAGTCTTGCGAAGCAGGGACCGAAATATCATCTAGCGACACCGTCCTGAAAGAAAAAAAAAGAAAGAAAGTCTTGCGAAGCAGGGACCGAAATATCATCTAGCGAAAATCGGCCATAGGGAAAACCGTTTTGCGAAGCGCTATAGCGATTGCAAAAACCCATCGTCTTGCAAATTAAATGTTTTGCGAGGTAATCGTCTAGCGAGGCACCACTGTAAAGGCTTAGCCCTGTGTTTGTGTTGCTACCAGGAATACTCCTCCTTAAAAGAGCCTTCCACTAGGCAAAGAAACCTCTATAGTTCCAAAGCCCACCATCCTTTGAATCTAGGCTGGGTCAATTCCTAGAGGATGTGTGTCTTGGCAACTGTGTGCAAGCTTCTAAACCTAGGTTTCCACCTATCCCCTTACACTGTACTTTGTGACAGAAAGCCTTTGGCTGTGTGCTTTAAGACTTGCATACTAGCCTGACTAGGTAGTACATCCAAATAGTAAAGTAGCTAGTACAGCTCTGTGGCTAAGGCACTTTCTTTAGGCACCTCACCTTTGTTCCCCCAAGACTCATACTCGGGTAAAATATCAAAAAGATTTATTTTAAAAAATGTATAAAGTATTCAAAAGTCAGTAAATTATATTGTTACAATGCAAAGCATGCTGAAGTAGATTCCACAGACTGATAAATCTGTCTAGCTTTACTTATTTACTTCATTGCAATTATTCTAACTAATGGCTTTATTGCTTCTAAGTAATCATGGCTACTTATCTCCATCAATCATCTCAAGCAGACCAAAGGGTTCTCCCATCTTCTTCTTCACATGGTCTGACCCCCCTGTTTCTATATCTTAAATCAAAGTCTCTGCAGCAGGATGATGTCCAATCAGCTTAAAGTTCTTTTTTCAGAAGAACTCCACACCTGGAATGTAACTTTTCCAAAGTCCAGCCCTTTAGTTATCATGGCCCTTTACTGGCTCCCAATTAAGATGGAATTTGGTGTTTGTCTCCTTGAGGCTAGTCTGCAACAGACAAGAACACAGGGAAAACAAATTCTCTTTTTCAAGCAGATAAACTCCACCTGTGAAAGTCCTGAAAAACAATGTCTCATTCCTTCACATTTAATTAAGTAATCATTTGCTAAGAGTCAGAACAAAGTGTGGAATTGATTTTAGAGTCATTAACTGCCACATGACACAATCTTTTCCATAGATTATACAATGAAGAAAGAAGAGGAAATAAATGTGATTAGAATGCAATATGAGAAGAATCTGAACAATGAAAAAACCCTTAAAACACAGGTATTTATTTTTCATTTGTTGCAGCATTCAGTTCTTCTTACATGGTGTACTAAGGCAATCTTACATGTGTAATGGTGTGTTGTTGAAATTCTTTTTCATACTAATGCCATTCAAGTGGAAGAACAATCTGTACTTTTAAAATTAGACTGCCAATATAAAGTCATTTCTCCATTCCTGCTAGGTATGATTGCACTAAATATTTTATTTATTCACATTTAACTAATTTTAAATAAATGCATTTGTGCAGAATTGTGCTCAAGGCTTTATTTAAAACACTAATTTGGTTATTTATATGATAATTTCTTAAGACAAGAAATTGCTTCTGAAATATATGTATTTGTTCAGAATGAAATAACAAAAACATAAAATTCCAAATATACAAACTTTTTATGTACCGTATAAGTAAATGCTAATAAAGCACAGTGCATAAAGCATCTGGCTGCAGAACCAAAGGCTGAGAGTTTGAATCCTCCTGTGGATCTGGGAAAAGGGCTGGCTCCCAATGCAGTGTAGTGGCTGGAGTGACGGAGTGGGACTCTCGAGAACAGGGTTTTGAATCCCCAGTACTCATTGGGGGAGTGGAACTGAAAAACCACTCCTTAAATATTTCATCTGCCTTGAAAGCCCTATTAAGGTTGGTTGTTGTGGGTTTTTCGGGCTCTGCTTCTTAACGTTTCGCCAGTCTCTGTGGCCGGCATCTTCAGAGGACAGCACTCTATGCTCTGGTGTAGTTGGCGTGGGAGTGCCGTATTTATGGCTGTGAGATAGGCTTTTGTCTTTTTCTGTAGATGGGTGATTAGTGTGTATTGTTGTGGGTGTATTGTTGTGCTAAAGAGAAGAGATTATCTGTCACTGTGGTTGATGGGTGTTGTTAGCTGGTCTTTTGTGTGTAGTGATCCCCGGTCTTTGTGGCTGGGTGGAGCTCGTTGACCTTTTGCACTCTGTATTTTTGAGAGCTGGGAGCCAAGTTTTGTTGAGCTTCACACTTTCCTCTTTTTTGTTATTAAGGTTGCAGTCAGTTCCGATTTGACAGCACAGAGCACACACAAAAGATTACATTAATAACTATATACTTACAGTTGTTAGTCTCCTCTTCCCCAGGGAAAGCCCCATGTAGTTAAGATGAGGTGCCCCTGCTTAAAAGAAGAAGGAAACTGATGTATAAAAGGGAATGGAAAACTAAATCAGCATCAAAGAGTGTGAACATATTGTTGTTCTTTTGTAAAGGTTTGCAAAAAAGAAGCAACAAAGGAGAGCTTACACAATGCATTGTGCCCTATAATGAAACATATGATTAGCTGCTTCATGTCCATGCAAAACTCATGGTTTAATCCTGGACTGAGCAAACTGTATGTAACTGGAAACTCGAATTTAAAAGTGTATCTAGACCAGGAAGTGTTCCTACTACAGCAGTAAGTGCTGGGCCAGATAGGGCAATGATGTACAGAAGAGCTGTGTATGCCTTAAAATTTAAATATACAGTGGTGCCCGCTTGACCATTACCCCATTAGACGACGAAATCGCTTGACGATGTTTGTAAGGTTTTTTTCGCTTCACGACGATTTAAAAACAGCTGATCGGAGGCTCTCAAAATGGCTCCCCGCAGTTTTGCTGACCTTATTTCGCAAGACAGGGAGCGGAAAATGGCCGCTCTGTGGAGGATCTTCGCTGCACAATCAGGTATTTCCCCCATTAGAACGCATTGACCAGTTTTCAGTGGGTTTTCAATGTTTTTTTTTCTTGATCACGATTTCGCTGAACAGCGATTTTGCTGGAACGCATTATCGTCATCAAGCGGGGCACCACTGTACAGAGTTTGGGTTGTAAACGTTTTTCTGCTACAGAACACTAGATGATTCATTTTGATTAAAATGGCTCTGGCCCATTAAAGAACTACTGTTAGTAGTTTTTTAATACAGTTTTGTCACTACAGAATACATCTTCATATTCCTTTCTCAATACACATGACAATGAGTCTGAAGAAAAATTCATGGAAAATCTGGGTTCTTGCTCATGTGTAGAACCTAAACATGAGTTGATACTTTAGCCTCTTCCTTGCTAGCATACACAATGTGACGACATAGTCATGAATAGTCATCTCTCTGTCTCAAGATACCGACACTGCTGGATTTGATAACAGTTGAATACGTCTGGTGCGTGTGTTCATTATGAAGCGTTAGATCCATCACTGATCATGTAATGTGAAATTGCTAATTTGTAAAGAAGTTTCAAAGAGAATTAGTATTCAAAAATATGTTCAAAAAAAATCTACAAATAGTATAAAATAAAGGGGAGCTGGGAAAAGTTACTTAAAAAAGAATAAAGCCTGGAATCTCCCAGCCAGCTTAGCCGGTGAAAAATAGCTTTTTCAACCTCAAAATAAAATCATCATTTTCTGTATAGTAAGTATAAGAACAATGAATACATATTGTGTCTTCAACACAGTATTCCAGCTGTAAAATATTATCTGCTTGCTACTTGAGTTATGAAAAATGGACTGATCTGTGCTGTGAAGAACTTCAATGTTTATTCAAGTTTGCTTATATTTCCTTGATCTCCAATAGGCAGTCAACAAATTGGCTGAGATTATGAATCGAAAAGATTTTAAGTTAGATAGAAAGAAAGTAAACATGCAAGATTTCAAGAAAAAGGAGAAGGAAAACCGGAAATTACAGTTGGAACTTAACCAAGAAAAGGAGAAATTTAATCAGATGGTAATAAAATACCAAAAGGAGCTGAATGAAATGCAAGCGGTAAGATTTTTCTCATTTTGTTTTGATTCTGTGTGGCCCTGTCAAATGAATTCACTGGTGATATTCTATTTAAGAAAGAATTTGCACTTGAGAACTATGTTAAAGATTTAACTTCTCTAATGTAGTTTACCACTGTAATCTATGTTATTTAGTTAAAAGGATGTTCAAACAAACCTTATTAAATTGAATGTGCACTTCCCATGCTGATGCATCCACAAGGCCAACAGTAGATAGTATACTCCAAAACATCTGGAGGATAACAACTGATATAATTCCTGACCATTAGCCATTCTGACCTGTCATTATGGGATTTGTAGTTCAAAACATGTGGAAAGCACTAGATAGCCAATCCCTGAGTTAGTCATGACATAATATTTTGAAAGATCTGTGACCATTCTGTTCATGGATGGCACCAGAATTTGTTTGATACATTCTTGTCTTCCTGCTCTTGTAAATTCTACTTTCAGATTACCAGATACATTCACAGATAATAAATATGTTGCTGTACCCATAGTTGGACAAGGGACGTTTTTTGTCTTACCTGATGAATTTCGTTTCTGAATACGAGCAGGAAGTTAATCCACTTTTCCAATTATTTTATACACTACATGTACCTTTTTAATGTACTTTCTTCTTTCTTTGTCTTCTATTTTATTTATTTACATTATTTATATGCTGTCTTTCTCCCCATAGGGCACCCAAGGCAGTTTACAACTATAATGATAAAACAATCATCAGTTTTAAAATACCATATAAATACCATATTTTTTAAAAAATACAAACATATATCAAGATTAAAAACAATTGAAAACATTTTTTAACAATTTTTAAAAATATTTTGTTAAAGCATTACTAGTTCAGGTTACTTCTCTAACCCATTTTTAGTTTCAGCCTGAATTTTGGCAGCCCACTCTATTGGCTAAAAGAGGGATCTCCAGTAGGCTCCAGTAGGCACATTTGAAGGCTGTCATTGCCATCACTACAAAATAGCTGCCATGGCAGTTTGGCTAATCATGGACGACCAGGGGTTTGCAAAGAATTAAGTCACAGTTCCTGCTTTGTTCTCCTCTCCAGGCCCCATCCACCCCATTTTCTATTCTCATTCTCTCCCCCCCCATTTTTCTTTAAACTGTTGATAGTGTGGCTCAGCCCACACAGAGCTACATCACCTTCAGTCCTTCTGCCATCTATTCAGAATAGTTGTACATGCGATAAAGGCCTAGCAATTAAGTCACAATTAGTGAAGGCCCCTTAAAGCAGTGGGGATTTGGTGAGTCAATTACTCCATTAAGTTCCGTTGATTGAGTAAGCTTGCTCTAGTTGCTGCTTGCTACTCTAAGAAACAGGATTTCAGTCACTTTCTCATAGTTGCGTAGAAGAAAAACATTTGCATTAGGGAGCTCATGGTTGTGGTTGGCCTCTATGAGAAGTCCTGTTCTCTTCAGGCATCGTGTTGCAGACTACAGGGCTAACCTTTTCATCAGTTCTAGCTTCCAGAAAGGAACATCCTACTCCCATGATATTCTTTTAATCACATCCAGTGTGGGGCAAAATGTTTTATTCTGGTTTGTATGAATAGAAGGAATTATTGTTAGCTTTTTAATTCTTTCATACTGTACATTAGTAACATATTGTGGTGATCCCCCTTTGTGCCCTTTGTACCTCTGGGCTCCACAAAGGTAAATACGTCCTTTTCGCTGCCACCAGGTATTATCCTAATACCAAATCAAATCCCACACACTCAGGAGCTGTCACCCCAAAGGGTCATACAATTTCAGGAGACAAGGGTTTTAAATAAATATTCTTTTATTATTGAACAGGATCATAAGTACAGTGGGGTCTCTACTTAAGAACTTAATCCGTATTGGAAGGTGGTTCTCAAGTTGAAAAGTTCTTATGTTGAATCTGCATTTCCCATAGGAATGCATTGAAAACCATTTAATCCGTATCTGCTCTTTTCCGTCCATAGAAACTACAGTGGAACCTCTACTTAAGAACTTAATCCATTCTGGAATGGTGTTCTTAAGTTGAAACATTCTTAAGTTGAAGCAAAATTTCCCATAGGAATGGACTGAAAACCAATTAATCCGTTCTGGCTGTTTTTTTGTTATGTAGAGGTGCGTTCGTACATTAAAGCATTAGTTCCCATAGGAACTAATGCAAAACTGGTTAATACGTACTCTACCACTAGGGGGAATTTTTTTTTTTTAACCTAAGATGACCTAAGGTTAAAAAAAGAGTAGGAAAGGTTTTTTTTTCCTGTTCTTATCTTGGATTTCTGTTCTCAAGTAGAAGCAAAATTTAGCAAATGGAGCTGTTCTTAAGTTGGATTGTTCTTAAGTAGGGAC